CTGCTGGGACCCCTTCGGCGCCGGGCTCCCGCACTCCTGGCAACCCGGCGACGGCGGCCTCGGGGACCCCCGCGCCCCCGGCCCGGAGTCAGGCGGACAAGCCGGTGCTGGGTGAGGGGGCGGCGCGCGCCAGGGCGGCTCTAAAGGGTCGAGCGGGTTGGGGGAGGGGCAGCATGGATCCTGGCGGGGTCCAGAGACCCAGAGGACTAGTTTGGCTGGGGGCAGTGGACCAAAAAAAGTGGGTTTCTTTGGTGGGGAATCCTGCCGTGCCTTCATGAGGGGTTAGGTAGGGCCGGAAGGTCCAGCTAGGACCTTGGGTGGAGGTAAAGCCTCAGGTTCTGGCCACGCCCCCGGGGCGGGAAACTTGGTCAGGTTGACTTCGCTTAGTAGTAGGTAAAGCCGCGAGCCTGGGAAGCGGGTGAACTGGGACCCTTGCATTGGGAGGGCTAGAAAAATCCTCGGTCATGTCCTGTTCCCCCCTCGTGGACCTGGTGAGTACGCAGTTCTAGGTGAAGGGCCTGGATTTGTAAGCATGTGGGGAACATGCTTTAGATTGGAAGGGTTTTAAAAGCCTGAGCCCTGTTGTGTGGGCACTTCCATTTTGAAGCCACTGAGTCAGCTTAAAGTTCAGTTTGATAGTAATAGAGAGGTAGGTTAGATTTTGGAGTGTCTCAAAACTGAGTCCAACTCCATCTCTTCCCCTCGTCTTACTGTCCCCACTGCATCTCTGCCTGGCAGCAATCCAAGTCCTGGGCACTGTCAAATGGTTCAACGTCCGGAATGGTTACGGATTCATCAACAGGTATCCGAGGAACCCAAGGAGGGGGTGGAATGGGTGCCTTTCGAACAGGCCTGTGGGACTGAACACCTTCCCAACCTCATCTCTATCCTTGCGGAGGCACATGGTTGCCCTTCTCAATGTCCAGCTGGCACTGATTGAGTCTTTAACCACAGCACAAATGTGTGCTTAGCAGCGGCAAGATGAAGCCTCCTGCACATCTTCAAGGGCAGCAGAGAGTTAATGATCCAGGAACTTGGCAAACCTGATTGTGACCCTTCTAGCTTCAGTCTCACCTTCTGGAATTGCCTCATTTTTAGTTTGCTATGCCTTCGGGGCAGAATGTACAGGCGCCCTCTGCGCCTCACGGCTCAGGCTGGTATCCTCACTGCTTTCCTGCTCAGAGCGGCACACATAGCACTCTCACAACTCATCGCCCTTAAAGAGCTGCTGGCTCATTTGTATCCCCCACCTGATCAAGGCTGGGTGGGGGGAAGGAGTCCCAGCTGGAGCCTGCTGCCTTCTTCAGTAGCCCCACCCCCTCCCAGCACCCAAAGAGGCTGTGGTGGTAGAGTCTGAGCAGAGCCAGGTCTCCCCCAGTGGGCTCTTACCCAGCCTCGGCACATCGCCCAGCCCAGCCCCCCTGGGAGGCCCTAGTTCCCTCTTAGCAGGCTGACCTTTGTGCAAACCCAAGTGCTTTAAAGCTAGAACCTTTGTTCTTGGGAAGGGTCCCAACCTTATTCTGGAAACTGAGGCCTCCTGGCTGGTGCGAAAGGAAAGCCTCTCCACAGCTCTCTTCCCATTGGGGTGCTAGGATAAACCGGGGTAATAGGCAAGGTAGTGCTAGAGAATGGACGAAAACTTCCTTTCTCACCCGTGATCCTTCATATGTTGAAAGGGGGCCTGACCCTGGGGCTCACCCCAGGCTGAGGGTGAGAATAAGGGTTTGCAGCTGTTGGAGCAAGTGCCTGCACCTAGTCTTCCTTTTCAAACTTGTTCTGCTCCTCTAGCCCCCGTCCCTTCTTTCTCCCTCCTTGAATGTAGAAGGAAGGAGACAGTGGAATTTTCCAGCCAGGATGAAGGGGAGGAGGGGATGTTAGGGACAGTTACACCCAGAACCACCAGGTTCTAAGGTGCTCCTGGGGTAGAAGGTGGAGCCCTGGGCGGAAGGTGGAGCTCTCCGCAGGTAAAGAACTGTTCCAGCTCCTCCAAGGTGCCTTTGCCTCTCCCCTCCCCCCTCTCCTCGGGAAGGCCAGGTTTTTCAATGAGGCTTTAGGTTTACTTCTCTATACCAGCTCCTGGAGGCTTTGCTAGCTCTTGCCTCTCCCTGGGCCCTGCCTACCCCCAAGTAGCAGTGGAATGCTGGAGAGGATGGGTCCACTGGTTAGGAACGGCTAGCGAGGCTTCAGTGGAGGTGAGTACTTTCTCAAAGTCACCCCCTTAATGACCCATCCTGTTCTGCAGGAATGACACCAAGGAGGATGTCTTTGTTCACCAGGTAAGAGCTAGGTTGGCTTTCTGAGGGGAGGAACTGACCCTCTTTGAAGGCCTTTGACATAATCCTTAGCAGCCTGATCAGGTTTCTCCAGCTTTTACATCATAGTGGCATGTCTGCCAAGAAATAGTTGCTCTCGCCATCTGCTCAGGTGCCTGTATGAACCTCCACTAGCCCCACGTGGGTTACTGAAACTCTCTGTAAGAAATGTAGGCATGCTCACTACCTGTTAACACTAGGGCATGAAGCCTCGGTGATTTTCCCAGGGAAAGGACACAGGCCAGAGACACATGGGTTCATTGGTTCTCAAAGTGTGGTCCCTGCACCTGCAGCATCAGCATCACCTGACACCCAAACTCTCAGGCCCCACCCCAGACCTACCACATCAAACTTGGGGGTGGGGCCCAGCGATCTGTTTTAATAAGCTCTCCAGGTGATTTTGATGACGCCACAGTTTGAGAACCACTGCTTTGGTGGAAAGCGCTCTCAGTGGGAGTGAGGTAAGAAACACAGTACGTTTTGCCCGCTTTGCAACTTAAGGTTGTCTGCTTTTTGCTTGGCTTTTGCGTTCGTATTTCTTGCCTCCTTTTTTGAAATCCCTGAGGGATGAGGCGGGGAGGGAATATGTCCTGGGGACAGTGGTAACTGCGTAGTCATTTCTGAGGCCCCTACTTCACGGCTTTTCCCCTACTAAACTTGAGCCACCTCCTTCTTGTTCCTCCCTGCAGCCCCAGCCCCCAAGGAAAACGTTGAGTCAAATTAGGTGGTGGGCCCAGCAGGGCCTCCTGTCTTGCCGTCCTTACCTTTCTCATGGCCTTTCCCCTAACCAGACAGCTATTAAAAGAAACAACCCCAGGAAGTTTCTGCGCAGCGTTGGAGATGGAGAGACTGTGGAGTTTGATGTCGTGGAAGGAGAGAAGGTTTGAGGGCTGTTGATGGGTATGGAGTCTGCTGGCTTGTGAGACGGTGGCCTAGAGGTCAGCCCAGGCTTTGGCCCTCCTGGGGCCAGCTCTTCCTCTGGCTTCTAGCCTTTTAGCCCAGGCTGTGGGAATGGGAGGAGTCCCTGGATGGCCCAAATGGCTAAGCACTCAAGTGCTAACCGAAAGGTTGGCGGTTCAAACCCACCCAGAGGCACCTTGGAAGAAAGGTCTGGCGATCTGCTTCTGAAAGGCTACAGCCATTGGAACCCTTATAGAACAGTTCTACTCTGCACATGTGGGGTCTCCATGAATTGGAATCGACTCGACAGCAACTGTTTTTTTGGTTTGGTGGGAATGGGATTGTGTTCTGACCCCGTCCTCCTCAACACTAGGGTTGCTGTTAGGGCTGTCCTAAAGAAGGCATCCCCGTCATCATTCAATAGTAACATCTGGGTTTCTCCTCAGTAGTTCACCAAGCACTTCCATGCCTATTCTCCACACGGCCCCTGTCCCCAGGTGTGCACCTCAGAGCCAGCCCTAAGTAGGAGAAGATGGATGGTGATGCACATGTTGCTGCCAGACCTTTCTTGGTCCCACCACCCCACAGGCTTAAACTCAAGAGAGTTGAGTAGCAGCTGTTTCAAAAGGACACGTTGCAAAGGTTGCCCCTTCCTAACCAAAAAACCAAACCCGTTGCCGTCGACGTCGATTCCAACTCTAGGCAATTCTATAGCACAGAGTAGAACTGGCCCACAGGGATTCCAGGGACCAGCTGGTAGTTTGGAACGGCCTACCTTTTGGTTAGCAGCAGAGCTCTTAACCACTGTGCCACCAGGGCTCCCGCCCCTACCTGTTGTTGTGTGCCATCAAGTCGATTCTGGCTCGTAGCGACTCTATGGGACAGCGTAGAACTGTCCCATAGGGTTTCCAAGGAGCGGCTGGTGGATGTCAACTGCTTATCTTTTGGTTAGCTGCCTGAGCTCTTAACCACTGCATACACATTCCATTGCCCCCAGGGGAAGGTAGAAGTAGGAGGTAGGGGAGCTAAGGGAAGGCTAGAGAGACGAGTTTAGCTGGAGGAAGGTGAGGACTTTGACGATTCAAGCAAGTTGGGGAATGCTGTGTATTTGGAGTTGGAACAAGTTCTGACCAGTCCGTCTCTGCCTCCTTCCCAGGGTGCAGAAGCTGCTAATGTCACTGGGCCTGGGGGGGTACCAGTGAAGGGCAGCCGCTATGCCCCCAATCGACGTAGGTTCCGCCGATTCATTCCCCGGCCTCGCCCGGCTGCCCCGCCACCCATGGTGGCAGAGGCTCCCTCAGGTGGGACGGAACCAGGCAGTGAAGGAGAGCGGGCTGAAGACTCTGGGCAGCGGCCCAGACGGCGGCGCCCACCACCCTTCTTCTACCGAAGGCGATTTGTGCGAGGCCCTCGGCCCCCCAACCAGCAGCAGCCTATAGAGGTGAGGAGAAGCTGGGAATAGGGGAGCCAGTTACCATGTTCTGGAAAAGAAGCAGGAGTTGGTGAGGAAAGAGACCATGGGGTCCCCAGAGGAAGTGGAACTACGAGTTGGGAAGGGTTGTGATACCTGAGTCCTGGGTGGCCGGCATTCCCACAGCTCGCCCAGATTTTGTGTATCCCTAGGGCACTGACAGGATCCCCGGTGATGCAGTGATTAAAGTGCTCAGCTGCTAACTGTAAGGTCGGCGGTCCGAACCCACCGGCAGCTCCGCAGGAGAAAGATGTGTCCAGTCAGCTTCCATAAAGATTTACAGCCTTTGAAACCTTATGGGGTAGTTCTACTCTGTCTTATAGGGTCGCCAGGAGTCAGAATTGACTCAACAGCAACGGGTTTGTTTTTTTTTGGTTTTGGTAGGGCACTGACGGCGTAGAACCCAAAGAGACAGCCCCACTGGAGGGGGACCAACAGCAGGGGGATGAGCGGGTTCCCCCACCCAGATTCCGGCCCAGGTACCGAAGGTAAGACCTTTCTGGGACTTGGTCTCCTCCTTTACCATCCTATATTTGTGTCAGGGGCGAGGGGACAGGTGAGTGGGAAAGGGGAGTTCAGTTCTAGGAAAAGCCTGAGGCCAGCGGCAAGGAGGGCTGGCGAGCTAAGAGACTGCTGCCTAGGTGCCCAGGGGGAGCAGGTATTGCTGGGGCTGGCTCCATCTCCGGGAGGGCTAGTCTGACTCTACCAGGGGAGTCCTGGGGAGCGGGGAGGCATCTGGACTCAGCTCCCTGTCTCCTCAGGGCCCTTGCTTCTCTCTGTAGGCCTTTCCGCCCCAGGCCCCCCCAGCAGCCTACCACAGAAGGTGGCGATGGTGAGACCAAGCCCAGCCAAGGCCCCACTGATGGTTCCCGGCCTGAGCCCCAGCGCCCACGAAACCGCCCCTACTTTCAGCGGCGACGGCAGCAGCCCCCTGGCCGCCAGCCCACAGCCCCTGAGGTAAGGACCTGGGATGTCTCACAGGGAGGTGGGATGGAAGAAAAGGCTGGCCACCTTCCCCCTTTCCCTTCTCATCCTTTTCTCTTTCCTTCCCTTCTTCCCCTGCCCCTCTGCTCCTCCCATCCCCTGGCCCCGTCCACCCCCGTCCTTCCCACTTTCCTGCAGGCTAACGCCAAAGAGCCGGTGCTGCTGGGTCCACTCCTGGCAGGCACCCCCACCCTGTCACCCCTGCAGACTCACCCCTTAGCTCTGCTTAGGGCCACACCTCAGCCTGTGAATCGGGGGAGCTGGCTGGGGAGGAATGGGAGGAGAAGGAGTGGGAGAAGGTTGAAGTTGGGGTTCTAAAGAACAAGCAGGTCTCAACTGGCCACTGCTGTTCTCTCTAGACCTCAGCCCCCATCAACAGTGGGGATCCCCCCTCCACCATACTGGAGTAAGGACACCCAGAACTACCATCTGGTGAGTGCTGCTCCGGAGCATGCCCTAGGCAGGTGGCCAAGAAGTCGAGGACTGGGTTGGGATAAGTTGATTTTTAGTGACTTGTCTGTTTTCTGTTTCTCCCTCAGGTATCTGCCAGTTTTTCCAACTGACCTGTACCCTTCCCAGTATCCTCTCCCCCTTTCCCATAATCCATGACATCTAAACATCGGCTTTTCCCCTTTTCCTTGAGACTCAGGAGGGCCAAAGCAACAGCCTTTTGCTTTTTTTTTCTCTCCCCTACCAAGGGTTGAAGGAAGGGATCCATCCTTATCATTCAGAGGCACCAACTCCCTCCCCTAAATCAGGCTGAGAAGGAACCAGCCAGCTCTTACCTCCTCCTGGTTGTTTTTCTTTCCCACCCCAGTTTATTTTTTGTTTCCCCTCTACCCCCCACCTCTGAAGCCATTTTATGAACTGTCATGTGCCACCTGAGCCTCCAGTAAAAACAAAAACAGGCTTTCCTGTTGTCTTGGTCTCTGCCTCTTTTCTGTTCCGTGAATCACTGGTAACTTGCTGTTGGAGGGGGATGTGGGGCAGTGGGCAGAGCCTGGTCTTGAATCCTTGCTCTCATGTCTCTAGCTGTGCAGCTGTGGACAAGTGCTTCAGTCTCAATCCCTGTGAGATTCACTTTGCCCATCTATAGAATGGGGATAACACCTACCTTGTAGGATGAGTGTACAGTGCCAAGAGCAGGGCCTGGCACTTGTAGCTATCATTTATTCAGCATTCACTATTATTAATAAAAGCAATGAGTAGAAATGTAAGTAGGGGCATGAGTGACAGCATCCAGAACATTTTTAGGCCTTGAGCTAAAGCAGGGACCAAGAGGGAGGAAGAAGTTTAGGGGCAGTTATGGTCCTTGTCTCAGCCCACCCTTGACCGTCTCCACAACAGGACGCTGGTCTTCATACAGTGACTTTATATAGAGAGATATATACATTTAGTACAACAGACCTTTGGCTTCTTCTCCCTACCCCTTCTTTGTCAAGCATATATAAAAACAGCCTGAGGCTCCTCCCAGCCCAGTGTTTATAGAGGCAGCCTTTCCAACCCCCTCTCCTCCTTAGTTGGTCAAAAGCCTGTGGGTATAGCATCCTTCCGGGATGGGAGAGGAGGAAATAGCTGTGCCCTTGCCCAGAGCCCTAAGTCTAGAGGCAGGAGCTTGCGGTCCCTTCCTCTTGCCACACACTGGCACGCACTGCACTCTCATGTTCCCTGTCACCTGGGAAGGCTGGCTGAGAGGGCTGAGCCTGCAGTGACAGGGGAAGTCAGACCTTGGGGAGAGTGTGTCTCTTGCCCTGAGGGGTTGAGACTGAGATCCCCCTGCCCCCAGAGCCTGGGTGGCCAGAATTCAGAGAAGGTGCCAAGTCCTGGGAGGAGTCCAAAGTGGCAGGAAACTTGACTTCACCCATTCTGCCCTCTGCTTCAGTTTCAGCTCCCACTGAAAGTCAGTCCTAGAGCCTGCCTCCTTCCAATCCCCTCTCTAGCCAAGGAAAGTATTCTGGACTGAGGCTGGGCAGGGTGGGGAGGAAGCGGGAGAGAGGGGAACAGCCCACCTGACGGCCACAGCCTAACCACAACACAAATAATCCAAGAGAGTCACGCGAGGGGATAAGGGGGTGCTTAGACCACCCTTCCCTCCAGCTTCCCAATCCTACCAGGCTGAAGGGATTTTCTCCACCCTGAAAGTACTGTGGAAGAGGGGGTTAAAGTGCTGCAGAGGAAGGAAAGGAGGGGTTCTCTGGGGGGCCGGAGGCTGTCCCTCTCCTTGCCCCTCAGTCATTCTCATCTGGCCCTAAGTACTCCAGTTCCGTGCTGGGCTTCGCCTCCTGCTCTAAAAGAGAGGGGGTCCGGCGGAAGGTAGCCGAGATCTGGTCAAACGTCCGGCCTCGGGTCTCGGGCACTCTTAAGAAGGTGAAGATGAAGAAGCCAAGCAGGAGGGCCGCAAATAGAAGGAAGACGTAGGGACCCATAGCCTCCTGGGACAGGTGGAGAAAGAGGTGTTGCCAGAGTGGGATGGGGAGGGAAAGGGTGGTCTCAAGCAAGCCAGGAACTAAAGACACTCCTAGGGATCTGGGGGTACTGCAGAAAGCAGGTGGCTCCTGGGTAGGGCAATGGAAATCACCAGGGGTGAGAATGTACAGAGACAGAAGAACATTCTCTGAATCCCAGCTCTCCTTTAGTTTTCTGCCCTCTTCATCATCCTGGGTCACTTCACTCAGAGTGGATTGCCAGTCATTTGTGGTATTAATAATCAAGTTTATCATTTATTCCTGGTCTAAATAAGTTATGCCCCCAGTTTGTCTTGAAGGCAACTCTGTTGCTACCTGATCTAGTACATCTCCATTGTCTCCAATGATTCTGGTGGATCAGGTGGTCTTCAGGGCCCAGGGGGTCCACCAAAGCCACAGACCACGGGTGTGTGGTCTGGGGGAGGCCCTGACTGGTAAGTAAGTGGGCTGGCTGTGAGTTGCCCCCTCCGGCCTGGGGTCGGGGGTTTGGGGCAGGGGACCTACCGCAACATACTGGAAGCCCATGCCAATGATGAAGTTGCAGGTCCAGTTGGAGAAACCAGCCACAGCCATGGCTGCTGGACGGGGTCCCTGGCTGAAGAGCTCGGCCACGATGAACCAGGGGATGGGGCCAGGGCCAATCTCAAAGAAGGCCACAAAGCCAAAGATGGCCACGATGGAGACATAGCTCATGGCTGGAACCCGCTCCTGGGGGCCAGGCAGGGAGGTGGGGAATTCAGTTCAGGCCTTCCTGAGTCTCCCTTTGCCCTCAACCCAGAGGAGGACTGAAATCTGCCCACCATCATCCCTAGCAGCTCATGGGGGGCCTTTTGCCCATGGTTAGAACAGGCCCTTAAGCATTTCGGAGCACTGGAATTCTGATGGCTACCCCAAGCAGATTCCGGGTACAGGGAATGTGTGGTTTCTCAGCTCTTACAGTGCTCAATTGCCCCTTGGCTCTAAAGCTGGGTCCTTAGGAATTATTGCTCCTGAGGCTCCAAAGGGGCTCTCCCTCCTGGTTGTCAGAGTCATGCTATAACTTCCTTCTGAAGCAGGCCCCATTTGATGCCTGGGTCCCGTAGGAGTCCCACTGGCTCCCGTGCCAACCCCCATGGTCCTGGCACACTGGCTGGCCCCAGGACTGAAGGCACAGATGTTGAGCAGTGTCCCTGGCTGACCACAGAGCCTCTTGGGACAGTTCCCATGGGTTGGGCTTCTGCCCCCTCCCCATCTCCTAGGCCTCACCAGCAGAAGCAGAGCCACAGTCATCAAGATGGCACAGCCACACATTCCCGCCAGGCCCAGGAGGTGGAGTGTCCGGCGTCCAGCCCGCTCTACCAAGAATACCTGCAGGGAGAGTCAGGGCTTGGCAGGGGGCCTTGAAGGGTATGGGAAGTGGGAGGAACTGGGCAGGTAGGTGGAAACCAAGAGTAGGACTGCCAGGACACTGAGGGATGTGAAGCCGGGATGGGGGCCACTCCAGAGGGGTGCATTACCGAAACCAATGTGAAGACTGTGTTGACCACACCAGCTCCTATGGTGGCATAGGCTGGCTGCCCTACCCCTGCCGTCTCGAAGATGCTGGTTGAATAATAGAAAACCTAGGGGTGGCGGGGAGAAGAACAGGAGGATGACAAGGATGTCCCTTCCTCCCCTCCAGCCAGACCAAGCCCGACTGATCCTGAGTTTTGGTGGTGGGTATTTGCTCCCTTCTCCCTTCCTCTTGAGCTATGGCCTGACTCTTGCCCTTCCTGGAGGCCTCTCCTACATACTGCATTGATGCCTGAGAGCTGCTGGCTCAGCTGCAGCACAACTGCAATGACGAGCGGCTGCCGGTGGATGTGGCTGCCCAGGACCTGGAGCAGGGACAGTGGCCGCTCACATTCCAGCTTCCGCTTCTCCTCCTTTAGCTCTGCCAGTGCTCCAGATACATCGGCCCAGCCAGTCAGGCGCTTCAGACCTGGGGGGGGGGGGGAAGGTCAGCCTGAGAGGGCAGGGCAGGGGGCCTGGGAGGGGAAGGTATGATTCAGATGGGGAGGAGCCCTGGGCTAGACTGCAGGATGAGTGCTCACTCTTGCGAGCGGGCCCCTCCAGGTTCCGGATGATGTAGAGGTAGCGTGGGCTCTCCGGGCAGAAGGGCAGCAGGACCAGCTGCAGGAGGGCAGGCAGCACTGTGAGGCCCAGAAGCAATGGCCACAGGGTGGCAGTGCCCAGGATGGACTCCAAGCCCAGTACCTGTGGGAGAAGGGGAAGGAGGGTAGGTCACTCACTTAGCCCTCCTGCCTGACCCTCAAGTCCTCCTGTTCTCCAGGGCCCCACCCCAGCCCCCTGCCTAACCCCTTCATGAAGCCAGCCCTGTCACCTGGGCAATCAGAATGCCAATGACGATGGCCAGTTGGTTGAGTGTCCCCAAAGCACCGCGCAGGTGAGTGGGGGAGATCTCCCCCACATACATGGGCACCAGGCCTGACGTCAGCCCTGGGCAGAGGGAAGAAGAAAGTGTTGAGGGCAGCTGCCCACTTCCACCTCTGAGCGCAGGAGTGGGGAAGGAGAGCTGGGCACTGGGCCGGGAGGGCGGTGGTGCCCATGGGTACCTGAGTAGGCACCGATGAGGAACCTTCCGAGAATCAGCATCTCATAGGAGGCAGCAGCTTTGGACAGGCCCATGAGGGCACCCCCCAGCATTGCCAGGCCGTTGTTGACCAGCATGGCCCTCTTCCTGGCAGAAGACAGAGTGGTGCCATCAGAGTTAGGGTCCCCACACTGCGGCAGCTTCCTGTCCCCCACCCCTGCTCTCCAGCCCCATACCTTCCCAGACACTGGGAGATGATGCCAATGAGGAAGGAGGAGATCATGCCGCCCACAGAAAAGATAGCCACGGAGAGAGCCCAGAGGGTGGTGAGGGTGCCAGGCGGGATGGAGCTGGGCCCTTCAGGCCCCTGCCTCCCCAGCCATGTCTCATTGTAGCTCTGTTCAATCACCTGAGGGGACAGCACAGGAGTGAGTCCTTGCAGACCCTTCCCTCTCCTCTCACTCTTAAGGTCCCCTGCCCTCCGTGTTTGGGCACCCCACCCTGCCAGCTGCAGCCCCTCACCTTCTGTGGGGCATTGATGACCCCAATGTTATAGCCAAACTGCAGGGAGCCAAGCACAGCAGAGAACACAGCGAGGACCAGTGCCCCTGTCACTCGCTGCTGGGGGAGTTCCCCTTCCTGCAGAAGCAGAGAGGGGACAGGTCACATGGAATCATAGTCTCTTTCCTTCTCCCCAGGGGCCCAGGCTCAGAGGAGCCCTAGGATGCTGGGTTCCATCCAACATGCTGGGTAAGAGAAACTGGGCCATATTAGGAATCACAGGAAGATCTCAATGTAAACAGGAGTACGCAGAACCTGACAGCAACTGGGGCATGAACAGAAACTGGATGTTTGAGTTCAGGCGGCAGAGAAATGTTTGGGGACCTAGGTCTTAAGATTCCTCTGTGACTTCGGGACAGGCTTGGCCTTAAGAGACCTGAGTTAAGATTTGTGTGACCTTGGGCAAGTCACTTCTCCCTTCTGAATCTACGTTTCCTCACTGGTGAGAAACGGATGATGTTGCTGGTCTTGCCTACCAGTCAGTGAAAATGAAAATCAAATGGAAACAGTGTCTCTGACAGTGCTGGCTTTACAAACTGACAAGTGCATTATCATCATTAGCCACAGTCCTCTTCCTCCCGTCTGGGGGCCCTCTCAGCTTGCTCCAGGAGGCCCTCAACAGGCCCAAGAAGGACAACTCCAAAAAGGACGTCTGGGTCATTCCTCCGGGCCTATGGCTCTGGGGGTGGCCTTCTCTGTCTCCGCCCAGGCTTCCCTTCCTTCTTTAAGCTATGACGAAGTGGGGGGCTGTGCCAGTGTTTTGCCCCAGACAGCCATCCCCAGGGGAGGGGGGCGGGAAGGTGGTGTGAGGGGCGGTGGCCGTGGTGGCCGGTCGCTGGCGGCACAGACTGTCTCCAAGCGGAAATCTGAGCTGGGGCGGGGGGGCTGACACTCTCCTCTGCCCCTCCACCAGCCATAGGGCCAAGGGAAAGTTCAGCGTCCTGGAGGGCGGCCAGGAGTGGGGGTGCCCCCCTCCCCAGCCTCCAGTCCTCGAAAAACTGCCCGCGAGCTGGGACAGAGGAACAGCTCCTGGAGGGCAAGGCCTCCCAGATCTGCTTTCCCACGCTGGATCGAGGGAAGGGGCTAACCCCGCACTCTAAGAATCCAGTTGAGCTCCGCGCCCCTGGAACGGTCCCCCAGACCCACTCTGCCTCTTGACAGACTGGAATCCGGCAGTCACGGGTTGTCCGGCCCGGGTATAAATAGTTTCCCACACCCACCCCCTGCACCAACGCAGGGATCGCTCCGGCGCTGATCCCAACCGCGACCCCAGCCCGAGAAAAGCCGGACCCGCGCTCCCATCCCGCCCCGTGCGCTGAACCCCACCTCGGAGCCGATCTGTTGGAAGCCCGACGGCATCCTGTGTCAGGAGCTGGCGGCGCAGGGGCTGCAGTAGACGAGAGCCAGGCGACGAGGGTCTGCAGCCCAGGCTTGGCGGGCAGAGGAGGGCGCGGAGCCACGGCGCTCAGCGATGTGCGGAGGGCGAGCCTGGCAGAACCCACAGGCAAGCCCAGGAGGCAGAGAGCAGCGGGGCTCCCAGGGATCTGGCGGAGCCTGGCTGGGGGAAAAGACCCGAAGAGCCCCCGCCGCCTCCCCCGCTAACCCCCGCGGCCACGCCCTTCACAGCACCCATTGGCCAGAAGCCCGCACACCCCAAAAAGCCACTCCCCTCCCCGAGCCGAGGACAGAGTTTGGCTAGAGTGAGCTGGACAGCATGTTAGTGTGGCCACACCCCCTCCACGCCCATTAGTGGAAGCGCAGGCAGCGTGGCCCGCGGGACAAGACCCTCCTGTTCCAGCCCGCCTCCCGCAGGGAAGTTTTGATAAAAAGGCCCGCCCTCGCCGCGGACAATTGGCCAAAGCTGATGAGGACCCGCCCCCTCACGTGTTGAACTCCGCCCACCAGCTGGTGTTGGCAGCTGCAGAAAAGCTACTAGAGCAGCTGGGGGGGATGGCCGGGACCCAGAAGAGGGGATGGGCCAGGTACACTGCCCCAGAGGGAGCGCGGGCAGCACGAGACAGTGCACGCGGGCTGACGGCGGGGTGGTTGCAGAGCAATGGCCACAAGTAACCCAAGGCGGCTATTTTTAGCGCCCGCGTTGGGAGCCGCCAAATGTCAGGTCCCGGGTGTCCCGGCCTGTCCCAGGCGGGGGGTGTGGGGGGATGGGCAAGGAGATAGAACCTTAAAGGGCCCGGGACAAGCTTCCCACGCGGGGGTGGCCCTGGGGCCAGGAAATTCCGTTCCTGGCGGGTCCGGTGACAGACTCGGTGGTCCTGGCTTTCCCTGCATTCCTGCCCCGGGCGCTGAGTGTCCGGCCCGTCCTCACATACATCCCCCCCAAGTAGCTCCTGTAGGTAGCCCGAGGGACAGGGGGTCATGCCGACCACGCCACCAGCCCTAAGGTTCCTGAACCGCCACGCATGTGTTGGCAGCGTGGTCGACTTGGACAAGCCCTCTGGAGGCCGCTCTGGCTTGAATCTCCAACTAAATCCTGCTCAGCGGGGAGGGCGCGACCTAGGGTCGGCTTGTCGGGAGAGAGAGAAGCGGGACACCCAGGATATAGAGAGCTCGCGGCTCAGAACACGGGTATGGAAGCGCAGGGCTGTAGTGCCACCTGGAGGGAGAGCGAGGACCCGCAGCGGAGCAGGCCGGGTGGTCTCCAGCCCAAGTCCCTCGCTATTTCCTCTTTGGGAAATGTCCCCCGCCATTTCCCCGTTAGGGAGTCAGTGACATCAGGACTCCCTGGGAGCTCCAGATCCGAATGTCCGGCTACCGCCTGGATGGGACACCGCATGATCAACGTGTCCAAACCTGCTGCTCCTCCTAACTTCCTCATCCTAGTGAATGGCCCCATTAGCCACCCAGTCACCGCTATTGGACTCCTGGACAACCCGTTGCTGTCGAATGGATTCAGACTCATAGCGACCCTATAGGACAGAGTAGAACTGCCCCATAGGGTTTCCAAGGAGGGACTGGTGGATTCGAACTGCCGACCTTTTGGTTAGCAGCCAAGCTCTTAACTACTGGGCCATCAGGGCTCGGGAATCCTGGAAGTCATCCTCAATTCCTCCTCTCCTGTGCCCCCTTTATTCAGTTACCAGCATTGGCGTTTTGACCTCTAAAACACATTCATCTGGTTTTCTCCACCTGGACTGCTGGCAATTTAGTCCAGCACCATCACCGTGACTGGTCTCCCTGCTTTTTCTCTTCCCCTACAGGGAAGGCAGAGTACAAAAAAAAAAAAAAAAAAAAAAAAAGTCTAATCCCATTAGCCCCTGCCCCAAACCTCACTCTCTGTTGCCCTATTGGACAAGTTCAAATCCCTTTTCAGTGTGAGGAAAACCTCCTGCCTTTTCTCTCTCTTTTTTTCCTGATGTCTCACTCAACCTCTCCTACTTTGCCATCTATCCATTGCCCTCATGTTTCAACCAACATCTAACCACCTCTTGTACCCGGAACACACAGTGCTGCTTCATCCCCTTGGTGTCTTTGCCATACTAATCCCATGGTTGTAATATCAGAGAAACTCTATACACCCTTCAAAAAAGTTCTCCCTATCTGTGAAAACTTCCTTGGCTTTCCTCCAGCAAGCTATGTGTCCCCACAGATAATATATTATCATCCTTTCTTCTCTCTGTGCTTCAAGAGCAGAAGGTCTTGTTTACCTCTGTATTCCCAGCACCCAGCCTAGGAGTGGGCACTCAGTCAAAGTTTGTCGAATGAACAAAGTAAGGGTCTGCTTCTTATGGCCAAGAGTGCAGATTTGTGGGCAACCAAAAGAGAGGGAACCATTTGGCTGATGGTTTGGCCAACCTATCTAAGGGAGTGTAGGCGAAGAACTATGGTATGAGCCTTGGAGAGAATCAGCTATTCATGAGCAGAAAGGAGGAGAAGTGACTGATGGAAGCAAAGAGGGGCAGATCAGGGAGGTTAAAGGAGAACCAGGGATGCTAGAGACTCAGAAGCCAAGGCAGTTAGGTGGCTTCAAGACAAAGGAGCTGGCCTATAGCATCAGAGACAATGAGACCCAAGAGGCTGGAGGCAGAAAATGCCACAAAGGGAAGAAGGCAGGGAGGTGGAAAAGGAGCTGAGAAAGTTGCTGAGAGGAAAGAAGAGAGTTAGAGGGAGGTATAGGCTAGAGGCAGAAGAAAAGACAGTGTAGTAGGAGAAGAGCAGGGCGCCCTGGGGTCTGGTCCTGCCACCCAGGGCAAGGTACACTCCTGCTCTGGCTCAGATGCTTTGTTTCTGATGCTTCTCATGGACCTTTCTAGGGGTTTAAACCCCAGAGCAAGTGGAATCAAAGAGAGCAAGTCAGACCTAGATACAGGAGGTGGGGTGGTTTAAAGTGTGTGGAGAAAGTGATGGGGAAGTAGAACTGGAGACACAAGAAGAATAAAGAGGGAGTTGGGAGGGAGAAAGAAACGGTGGCAGGGAAGATAGGGAAAGAGTCTGACTGATAGAGGACCGACACAAGGGAGAGTTTTTCATTGGAGTGTGTGTGTGTGAATCTGGTAGAGTGATCCTTGCCCCATTTGATCTCAGAACCAACTGGAGCCCTTCCTAAGCTCTGTTATATATATGTATACGTATATATATATATACACACACACACACAACAGTTGAACCGAGTCGATTCTGACTGATGGCAACCCTACGTGTCAGAGTAGAACTGTGCTCCATAGGATTTTCAACGGCTGTTTTTAAAAAAATGGCTCACGAGGCCTTTCTTCCAAGGCATCCCTGGGTAGATTTGAGCCTACAAACTTTTGGTTAGCAGCTGAGCTCGTTAACTGCACTACCCTGGGAATCTTGTCCTACATCAAGGGGAGCTGAACTTGGCAGGCTTTAGGTTTTCCAAGCTCTTGTGTCTGCTGTCTTCTGGCTGGGTTCAGACCCCAGTAAGTACGAGCCTGGGGGGCAGGAGAAAGCCAGGATATCCACCCCCTCCCTATCTCTCTTCCTCCAACTCCTGCTCTATAGACCTGATTTGCTTTTAGCTTCTGTGGGGAGACATTGACCCCTGAGGTCCAGCAACACTCTCTCTCCTTACTTTGTCTCTTCACTATATTGTGCTTATACATTTGGGTCTCAGCTGCAGAGGACCGAATTAATGATGTAGATCTTGGCACAGTGTCTTTATTGATCTATGCAACACTCCTCTCTTATTTTATTTTTCTTTTTTAAATCATTCTCTTTTATCTCCATACCCCTTTCTTCTTTGTCTTCCCTCAATAGGCAACAATTCCAGTGCATTTAATATTTATTTTTTGTTTTTACTCTTGCAAAATGTGAATTTTTTTGTGTGAAAATAGTTTTGATTTATGTAAATAGCGTCTCGTTATGCACCTCGTGTGGTCTTAGTTTCGATAAGCACTGTTTTTAAAATCTACTCGTGTTGTGTGATTATCAAATCTATTGCTGCAGAATACTGCATAGTATCAGTGCACTGTATTTTACCTGCTCACAATCCCACTGATGAACACCAGGTGACCGCCAGTTGCCAACCTGCCCAAACAACATGACAATGAACAAGTTCATACAAGGTCCCATATGGAGCCCTGTGACAGCATCTTTTTTCAAAATTTTTGATTGTACTTTAGACGAAGGTTTACAGAGCAAATTAGTTTCTCATTAAACAATTAATACATATATTGTTTTGTGACATTGGTTGCCAACCCCATGACATGTCAACACTCTCCCCTTCTCGACCTTTACCATTACCAGCTTTCCTGTTCCCTCCTGCCTTCTCGTCCTTGCCCCTGGGCTGGTGTACCAATTTAGTCTCATTTTGTTTTATGGGCCTGTCT